TGGATCCGCTGGATCCGCTGGATCCGGTGACGAATCCCAAACCGGCGCCCTCGCCTGAGAAATCCTCACAAAACGGGCCCCGGGGGGGATGCCCAGAGGAGCCCAGAGCGGCCTCCGGCACCGTTTCCGGACGGATACGCTGGATCCGCTGGATCCGGTGACGAATCCCAAACTGGCGCCCTCGCCTGAGACATCCTCACAAAACGGGCCCCGGGGGGGATGCCCAGAGGAGCCCAGAGCGGCCTCCGGCACCGTTTCCGGACGGATCCGCTGATCCGCTGGATCCGGTGACGAATCCCAAACCGGCGCCCTCGCCTGAGACATCCTCACAAAACGGGCCCCGGGGGGGATGCCCAGAGGAGCACAGAGCGGCCTCCGGCACCGTTTCCGGACGGATCCGCTGGATCCGCTGGATCCGGTGACGAATCCCAAACCGGCGCCCTCGCCTGAGACATCCTCACAAAACAGGCCCCGGGGGGGATGCCAAGAGGAGCCCAGAGCGGCCTCCGGCACCGTTTCCGGACGGATCCGCTGGATCCGCTGGATCCGCTGGATCCGGTGACGAATCCCAAACCGGCGCCCTCGCCTGAGACATCCTCACAAAACGGGCCCCGGGGGGGATGCCCAGAGGAGCCAGGCGGCCTAGGATCAGTATCATCACAAAAAAACGGGCCCCGGGGGGGATGCCCAGAGGAGCCCAGAGCGGCTCCGGCACCGTTTCCGGACGGATCCGCTGGATCCGCTGGATCCGGTGACGAATCCCAAACCGGCGCCCTCGCCTGAGACATCCTCACAAAACGGGCCCCGGGGGGGATGCCCAGAGGAGCCCAGAGCGGCCTCCGGCACCGTTTCCGGACGGACGGATCCGCTGGATCCGCTGGATCCGGTGACGAATCCCAAACCGGCGCCCTCGCCTGAGACATCCTCACAAAAACGGGCCCCGGGGGGGATGCCCAGAGGAGCCCAGAGCGGCCTCCGGCACCGTTTCCGGACGGATCCGCTGGATCCGCTGGATCCGGTGACGAATCCCAAACCGGCGCCCTCGCCTGAGACATCCTCACAAAACGGGCCCCGGGGGGGATGCCCAGAGGAGCCCAGAGCGGCCTCCGGCACCGTTTCCGGACGGACGACCTGACTGCATAACACGCCTGGATATGCCGACGGGGGCGAAGGAGGAGGAGGAGGAGGAGGAGGAGGAGGAGGAGGAGGAGGAGGAGGAGGAGGAGGAGGAGGAGGAGGAGGAGGAGGAGGGGGAGGGGGCAGGCGAGGGAGCCCCGGCCCTGGGGGAGGGGCCCTGAGGGAGCCCTGATGGGCTTCCGGCACCATGGAGAGGTCCTGTGGGGCGGCCGCCCCTTCTTCTCTCGGTCGTTTCCCTCTCGCCCAGAAGCGCGCGCCCCTTCTTCTATATATACAGAAACTCCCGATCAACCGCAGAGCGGCGGATGTTATGAAAACGATACCATATGACAAATGGTGCGAATTACTGTACTCACCCACTTTCCCCATACCCACCTCACCGCCGTTTTTCTATAATATTTGTCGCCTACCACCCCCCAGCGACCTGCTTCTTACACCCTCCTCCCTTCTCCATTTTCCCTCCTCCCTCTTCCCTCCTCCCTCCTCCCTCTTCCCTCCTCCTCCCTTCCCCCCTCCTCCCTCTTCCTTCCTCCCTCTCCCCTCCTCCATCCTCCCTGCTCCTGCTCCCGCTCCCTCCTCCCTCCTTCCTCCTCCCCTCCTCCCCCTTCTTCCCTCCCCCCCCTCCCTCCTCCCCCCTCTTCCCTTCCCCCCCTCCCCCCTCCCCCCTTCCCCTCTCCTCCCCCCTCCCTCCCTCCTCCCCTCCCTCCTCCAATCCCCCATCTCCCCCCTCCCCCCCCCTATCCCCCTATCCCCCCCCGCCCCCCTCCCCCCCTCACCGATCCCCCCCTTCCCCCCCGTTTACCATATTGTCGGCTCTTGCGAATCGACGCTGGTCGGGGCGAAATCGTCGCCGAGCTACGTTAATCGACGCTACAGGCGGAATTGCGAGGGTATACAAAACTCCAACGATTTGGTACCGAACTCTTCCCTGGGTCCGTCATGTCCGGCCCCTGGTCCTGGATCGATGCTTCACGCTTCACGGCCCTGGGACCCTGAAAACGGCATCGATATTCGGTCCACGAACGGGTATCGGTGTCGGTATGTTTGTCCTCCTCTGGGCACCATGCAGACCGTCCGCGGCGTCGCGGGCAGCGAAGGTGACGTTGGTGGCCCCGTGTGCCTCGGCGTTCCTGCGCGCGAGCATCACCGCGGTGGGGTCCACCTCGATGCCGTGTACCTCTGCGGGCGTCCAAATCGACAGGGCCGCACTGAGGTATTGCAAGGTGGCAATGTGTAGATGACTCCTGGGCGTGCACCGCTTTCATAGGACGACTTATTGAGCAAGGACTACCCCGCCGCGACACCGCGTGAGAGCCTCCTCGCCGACAGTCTACACGACACATGATACTGAAGCCTTCGACAGGGTAGAGAAAAAACGGCAATGACACACAAGGGAGAGCACGATTCACGCTATAGCTTAGCATTGCTGAACCAGGCACTGCTGCACATGGTGACGAATTACACTGTCAGTCTTGATCCGCCAGCGTAGTCGATTTCGCTTGGCCCACGTGTAATGCTGTATTGTGCGCTGATATGGTTAGGTTTACGTTTGTCTGGTATGTTATGCAGTGCGTTGCAATTGGTTGCGTTGGATCGCACTGCTTGACTTGATGACATGTGTTGTGTCTTGAACTACTGCGCAATTACTTGCACTGCATGTGCATCGCACTGCGTCGCTGTTCAAGAACGGGCCACCTCGAGTACCATGCCCGTGGGCACCTCCCTGGACTGGGGGAAAACCATGCCCGGATGACCCCAAGCAGAGAGAGACACCACCGTCTCGGGTTATCTTGAGAGTGAGCAGGACCCTCCGGCAAAACCTAGACTTGCAACTGTGGACTAACGATACGACACTCAAGCGGAAATATCGAGGCAATAAAAAATCGAAGGCGGCGATCGGCAAAAGGGGCGAGGTACGGGAGACGAACTTGGAACAGGTGTCAAAGAGACGAACGGCATAGGGTGAACACCGCCGAAAACTACAAAACAAGCATGACATCAGAACGAAGACTCCATCAAAAGGGCCAGAAAAAAAGGAACCACTAAAAACAATGCAACTCGTCAACTGGCAAAACATACGTAACACGGCAAGACAACTTACGCGTACAGTGGAGACCAGTCCACGAGAAGCCTTCCACAACAAACCCAACCCTGAGGTCCCAAGACGCCCATCGATGTATGGCGTTGGAGCGTCACGCCCTCCATCGCAGAACCATCAAAACCCAGGAAATCCAGGGCAATGCGGAGGCAAGCAGGGTGTTTCTTGGCATGTTTCTTGGCAGGCAGGAAGAATTCCAAGCTGAGCGCGCCGACGCGGCCAGCAGCGGCAGCGGGGGCCGTGGCAGCAGCTGGGCCGAGGCGTCGGTGCACCCATGGGCGCTGCCGATGCTCTATGTACGAGGCAGAGCAGCCACACGTAACACGGCAAGACAACTTACGCGTACCTGCCCAGGTGGGCTCCACGCCCACCGCTCGTGGGCGGGAAAAGCTTGTCCACGTCCACGCCCTCCCGGCCTGCACTCCTCGGCCGCGGCCCTGTGGACGATTGCGGGGCGGCTCTGCGCCTCGATGCCCCGAGCGGAGAACTCGTCCGTGGGATCGCGCCTGGGTGCCCAGGTCGCGAGGGCATGGACATGGACCTCGTCGCTCGTGGTAGAGGCCTCCTCGATGGGGTCGGAGCAGACGGGGTCGGAGGGTCGCGCCGCATCGCCGATACATCGACGATGCATCGGCGATGTATCGGCGATGCACCGGCAGTGCATCGTCAACATCGGCAATGCATCAGCGACGTCGGCGTGGAAAAGCGGGCCCCACATCGAGCCGAATCGGCGATGCATCGCCGGTGCATCGGCGATACGGAACGATCCTCCGACCCCATCTACTCCGACCCCATCTAGGAGGCCTAGACGTGAGCTTCGCAGCCGTATGCACCTGCTGGATGCGCTTGCTGGCGGGGATGGCGAACAGGCCGACGCCGCAGTACACGTCCAGCAGCACGGCGGGCGCGCCGCCGCCGCCCCCGAACGGCTCGCACACCGCGTCCAGCACGCACCCCACGAAGGCCGGGAGTATCGACGGAGAAACAGACGACTGCATAAGCATGACTTCTCGGAGCGCTCCGAGCGGTGTTCTCGGATCGGCACTGGGACCCCCCTCCCTGACGCGTGGAGCGAGGCATGGCCGGCGCCGGAGGCGCCAGAGTTGCCGCCAGGGGGGCTCCTGCGCCGATCGAGGAAATCCGCGCGGGCTCCGAAAATTTATGTTTATGCAATTTTCTGTTTTCCGGATCGAAGAGTTGTTCTGGAAGAAGCCGCCGGCGCGAAACGTGAAAGCCCCGACCCCCGGGACGTCCTCCGTCACGAAGCGCGAGCCTTGCAGGTCCCAAGGCGGTGCGATGAAAGACCGTGCGGTGACCTCGAGATCCCCGCAGACCTCATCGCACGGCCCGTCACCTAACCTTCTTGGGACATGGGTGGCCCCAGTCGCCCGAGACTTCCTCGGAGAACGACCCGAGTCCATAGAACGTGCGGTCACCCCGAATCCCCACCACAACGGCCCTCCTCCGAATGTTTGGTTCCACGGCCGCAACTCGGGGGGTCTCTGGCCGCTGTTCGGGACGACCCGGGCACCCACGAAACGCCCTCGACGAGGCGCAGATGCGGGAACGCCTCCCGAGGCGGGAAACCCGCCAGGAACCGGCGAGAATCCCCCCTGATTCACCTCACGGTGTGGCCACCGCGCCGCTTAGAGGTCCCCGAGAGCCGTCCCCGACGACGCCGTCCCGCGTCGTGTGCCGCAGCAGCAGCTGCCCGCGCCAGCCGAAGGCCCGGGCCCCCGCGCGGGCGGCGGGCAGCTGCTCGTTGATCGGCTCGGTGGCGACCGGGCACCACTTCACGTCCACGACCTCTGGCAGGGCTTCGGGGTCCGACGCCAGAAGTATCTGGCAGGGCTTCGGGGTCAGACGAGATCTGGGAGGTGGAGATATCTAGCGCCAGACGAAGCCAGGGCGAGGACAAGATCGGGCGAGGTCAGGTCGAGAGCCTCTGAGTTCCGGCGGCTCTGGAAGATGTCTCGGGCGCCGCGGCCTTCCCGGAGCGTTTCGGAACGCCCTGAGAGCGCTCTGCAACGGATTTCTCCTCGTCCTAGCCCCTTCCGATAGCGGGCGTTTTCGCTTGGCCTCGGGCGCCAGCCCATCACAGATCGATCAGGCTCGAGAGAGGCCGCAGCAGACATGGGGTCCAGGGATCTGGTCATGATTTTCGCAATGCTTCAATGTCTCGCAATGTCGGATCCCAGGGTCGGGCTGCATACGGACAGCCCACAAGTAGTCCCAGCTGGCCTCAACAGGCCCCCCGAGCAGTCCGAGACGGTTTCCACACCATGGCGCCGCCTCTGGCGGTGCCCCTGAAGCTCCGCGTCCCCAAACTGGGGCGTTGAGACCGCCCAAGACTACTCGGGGGCCCTGCCAGCCGGGACCCTGCGGGGGCCGTCTGCGCGCAGCCCACAGCCTTACGGTCGTGGTCTTGTCCTCAGCGACCACACGCGACCTCGCGTCCTGCGAAGCCGAAGCCGTTGACATGCTGAGCAGCGCAGAAGCGCACACGCTACTCCAGATCCTTCAATAAGCACCCCGCCGTGCCAACCTGTCCGACGCCCCTTGCCCGCCACCCGACGCGCCCCAAACCCACTCCCTCTCGCTCCCCAACCTCCCCGCGCCCCCCGAAAGACAGCGGTTTCCTACCCCCCCACGCGATCCACCCCCCACGCTTATTGAGAGACCCGGAGTAGGCAGGGTCGGGCGGAGCAGCCCTCCGATGTGCACACACCGAGTACCAACCAATGCAGGATACACGCGCTAAGTGCGGAGCACTTGGCGTGTGTAGGCGTTTGCCCAACTGCACTCGGAGATACCCCCCCCCTTAGGAAAACGTGGAAACGACCTGAGACCCAAACCTGGCGGGCGCAAGCCTGGAAAATGACGGCCACGGCGCCCTCTCGAGATCCGAAAACGGACAATTCACCAGTCGACGTGTCACTGTTGGGGGTTCTGTCCACCCCCGATACACACTAAGAATAGGACCGCGACGAGTCTGTCATCCCGACTCGATTCCTGACACTCCCAGGGCCGCTGGAGGGCCCCGAGGGCCCAAAAACGGCGAAAAGCATCAGGGCCCGTTTCCCTATCAGGACCCGCTTCCCTCCTGGCGCTTACCACGTAGAGGCACAACAAAAAACATACAAACATACACTTTCAACGGTCCGCGCGGATTTCTCGGATCCACGCCGGACCCCCTCCCTGGCGCGCGGAGCACGCCGGGGACGGCGCGGGAGGCGCCGCCGTGGAGGCCCCAGCGCGGATCCAAGAAATCCGTGCGGAGCGCCAAAAGTTCATGCTTATGGCGATTTTCTTCTTCGACCCATGGCGCGTACCATCGACCTCTGCATCTTGGAGTTTCGGGCCACCTTCCCAAGCCACCCGAGGCGCAGGGGATATTGAAAAAAGCCAGGCCCCAGTAGCGGCTATACTCTTAGCCACATCCACCGCGCCTCGGCCGTTTCACGCCCCCGCTCCAGAAAGTCCAAAGCGCAGTGGATATGGATATCAATCTTGCCCGCGCCCATGGCGCTTACCGTCGACCTCCTTCCACCGCCGCCCACTGCCGTCGCGCCGGTCGCCCCAGGCCTCCTCCAGGAAGCCAATGGGCTCCGGGCCCCCTCCCTCGGGGCGGGGCGGCGCGGCCGCGCGCCGGCCGCGCCGCGCAGGCGCCTCCTGGGAGGCGGGGCAGCTGCTGGGAGGTCATCGTCATAGTCGGACGGAGTACTCGTTCGTCGGCGGCGAGGCAGAGGCAGTCCGCTCCAACGTATGGCTGTTCGGGGTAACCGAAAGGCAAGTTGACCGGCGTGCAGGAGGGAGGACAAAGACGAGGGCGGCCGCACGGGAGGAGGGGGAGGGGAAAGCACTCAGGCGTGGAAGAGTTCCGCGCAGAGCAGGCCTGTGCGGCCAGCCGAGGCAGCGGGTACCGCGTCAGCCACCAGGGCCGAGGCCAGGGCGCACCCGCGAGCGGTCGGAAGGATTACAGTCGGATCCCCCGAAGAGCTCTCGGCGAGTGTTTTCTCCCAGGAGCAAGAAAAACCTGACAGAAT